TAAGCCTTCAGTTCCCTCTACTGTCATTTTTGTCTCCCATGTTATTATCTTGGGGTTCCTGTAGAAACTCTGTTATTAAGTAGAGCCTGGGCCTTGCAGTTCTTTCAGCTCTAACCCCCTGTTATACAGCAGGTTTATCGATGTGTTGGTAAGGTATAGGGAGCCAAAACATTCTCTGTCGTGATGATTAGGTCTCAATCTTTCAGTGTGTCTATTTCCTGGGGCTATGACCTACATAAGTGATCTCTATACCCCTTAGGTGAGACAGGAAGTTACAAGGAACAGGAAGGGTCTGGAGTTGTGTATTTTCCTCCCCCAACATTATTTATATTGTGATATAGTAGTTTTCTGGAAGGTCAAGCAGAAAACAGAAAGCTCTGAGAGTACTTCAAATGGCTCCATTTTTCCTCCCTCTGTTCAAAGCTGGAGAATTTTTCCCTGATCTTCACTATGAGAACCTGGCGGGGCTCCTGGAGTTAAAACTCCCAAAAAACTCCCTTAGGTTTCCCCTAAGACTAGGACCCTGAGAGTTTTTACCTTTCAAGCTAGTCCACACTCAGCCTCCAGCAATTCATCAATTACCACTTAAGTGTATGTGTGTTTATGTATATTAACCAGCAGCTTCTGCTCCCGGTAGGCTGTGAATTTCTTCTCATGCCACTATCTCTTTTCAGGGAGTCAGCCTGTTCTGTGACCTCAATTTTGTAATGGATCTAAGAAGAGTGGTTGATTTTCTGTTTGTTTAGCTTTTTACTTGTGAGGATAAGACTGATAACTTCTAAGCCTTTTATCTTTTAGAGCTGAAACCAAGTCCTATCTTTTTAAATAGATAAATAATTCAATATATGAATGTAAAAATGTTTGTTGAATTGTAAATGTTTGCTACCCTGGCACATTAAACACTCAATGTCTCTTACCCCAACACAGCAACAGTCAAACAGAGATACAGGTAGTCAAACCACAGGGTGGAGACAGAAAATCAGGAGGCACCAAAATGTTACCAGAGCCGAAATGGCCATGGCTGGCTTGTTGCCTCCTCTGTTCTCCACTCTCCTCTTCCTTCCTGTTCAACCTTTACCCATGCCTCTTCCACCTTTGATTCTTCTTTTCCTTGCCCAGTAATGTCCTGTGCTCTCTCCTCTTTAAACCATTTCTATTGGAAGATATATCCCTAAATGCCCTTTTACAGAACTTTAAAACAAAAGAGAGTCTCTAGATATATAAATAGATAGATAATAGATAGATGTAAATAAATGGAAATAGCTATAGAGACATGCTTGTATATGCCTATATTATTTCTGGGAATAGTTGCATCTAGAAGGAAGAACATAAACATGGGATAATTGAAAGGAAAGGAAGACTTATTTTAATACATACTTTTTTTTTTGTTTGAGACAGAGTCTCACTCTGTTGCCCAGGCTAGAGTGTCATGACATCAGCCTAGCTCATAACAACCTCAAAGTCCTGAGCTTAAGCAATCCTTCTGCTTCAGCATCCTGAGTAGCTGGGACTACAGGCATGCGCCACCATGCCCAGCTAATTTTTCTATATATACTTAGTTGGCCAATTCATCTCTTCCTATTTTTAGTAGAGACAGGGGTCTCGCTCTTGCTCAGGTTGGTTTCAAACTCCTGACCTTGAGCAATCTGCCCACCTCGGCCTCCCAGCATGCTAGGATTACAGGCGTGAGCCACCGCGGCTGCCCCATACTTTTTGATAGTGTTTAAATTTTTACCATGCACATGCATTCTCAAGGAAAAAAATGTTACTTTTTAAGTGAAAGTTGTTAATCACAATCCCCCCAAGTCTAATTATTGCCATCTACAAAAGGAAAAAAAAGCTTCATCAAATACCATATTCAACATTGAAAGCATCAATGCTTTTATGCAAAGGTCAGAAACAAGACAAGGATACCCATTATTCTCATCTCTATTCATCATTGTATTGGAGATCTTAGTGCAATAAAGAAAATAAAAGAAATAAAAGGTACAAAGATCACTCAGGAAGAGCCAAACCTGTCTTTATTTGCAGATGACATGACTATGTACACAGAAATACAAATAAATAAGAATTCCTATTTCATCTTTTGTGAATTTTAGTAACAATTAGAATAAGTGAAATTAGCAAAGTTGCTGATACAAAGTCAACATACAAAAATCAACTTTATTTCTACATACTAGTAATAAATGATTGGAAATTAAATTTCAAAAATCCATTTAAAATAGAATAAAAGATATCAAATTCTTAGGAATAAATGTAATTCCACTTCAAATAAGAGTGTCTGTTTTTATTACTGTTATTCACTATTGTACTGGTAGAAAATAGTGCTTTGGCTCCCAGCTAACTTTTCTCCAATTAGCCTCACAATAATATTGTCACTTGATCTTCAATTAGGCCCACACAAATATAGCCAGTACAATTTAGAGAGGAGAGAGGGTCTTTTCAAAAAATGATATTGAACCAATTTAATATCTTCATAAAAAAAATAAGCCTTACCTTACACCATACATAACTGATTTGAAATTGATCAACAATCTAAATATTAAAGGGAAAAACATAAAGTTTTCAAAAGACAGCAAAAAATAACTTTGTGACTATGTAGTAGGAAGAGATTAAACAGGACAAAGCACTAACAGTAAAAGAAGATAAATTGAACTTCATTAAAGTTAAAGCATTTGTTGCCAATTTGTTGCCATTCACTAACAGCAGTCATGTGAATGGGCAAGCCACAGACTGTGCAAGGATAACTACAACATCTACGTCTGAAAAAGGACTAATATCCAGAATATGCTTTTTACAACTCAAATCAATAAGAGATAGACTAACAGCACTATTTTTAAGTGAACAAAAGACTTGAATAGGCACTTCACAAATGGTGATATCCAAATAGCTAATGAACATTTAAGAAGTGTCCAGCATCATTATTTATTAGAAAATGTAAAAAACAAAAGACTAAAGCAATATTGTACACCATATCCAACAGAGTAGTTAAAATCAAAAATACTAAAAATAACATTTGTTTATAAAGGTGATGAGCATTCTTTTCTGTAAATTGTTGACAGGACTGCAAATTAACTTAAATATTTTGGAAGACAATTTGGTAGTATTTAGAAACCTAAACATATGCCTACCCTCTGACCTGATAAATCCATATCTCGGTACATATCCAAGAGAAATGTGTATATATCAAATAAAATACTTGTTCAAGAATGTTTATAGCAGCTTTATTAGTAATAAACAGAACCTGAAAATAAGCCAAATGTCCATTAAGAGGATAACTGATAAGTAAATTGCTCTGTATTCACACAGTGAAATACTAAGCAGCAATAATCAAAAACAATGTTATGGATGAAGTTCACAGGACCCTCTATATTAAGTGAAGAAGCCAGATATTAAAAAGTAAATGTACTGTTTAACATTTATATGAAGCTCAAGAATGAGCAAAATAAATCTGTGATGCTAAAAATAAGCATAGTGAATAGTTCCAGGAAGAGAATGGGGAGGAGTATTTATTGGGAAAAAGTAGGCAGGAATACTATAAAATGATGAAAATCTTCTATATCTTAGTCTAGGTGGTAGTATATAACCATAGCCTTATAGACGTGAAAAAAATTCATTGAGGGTTTAATATTTGTGGGCTTTTCTATATAAACGTACACTTCAATTTAAAACGGGGTGGGCATTTATATTGTACTGCTTCTCCACCACCCCACTGCACCCTCAATCTGCAAGCGTTCTGAATCCAGTGATCTTCCCTCTTCTATATCATAGAAGGCACAAGCCTCTCTATACTGTCATTGCTTTTATTACATTCTGATTGAACAGAAATATTACAAAAGAAAACAACTAAACATTCATCCAAAGTTTCCTTTTTCTAATAGAAGAGAACTTGCCTAAGAAAAGTTCAGAAGCTAAAGTATCTTCCAACCAGTCCACGTGCCATTGCTTCTGAAAGAACTGCCATCACGAATAACGTGTTCAGACCAAAAAATTGTTCTTCTGATTCTGTCCATAAAGCTGTACCTCCATTTACCCAATGCTATGAATATGTGATCTTTCCTGAGACCACCATCCCTTCCCTTATGCCCTACTATTAGAAGATCACAGATATATGCGATGCCTTAAAAGGTAATGTCAATTGCCAGCCCTCACAACGAGTTGTTGTTACGGCTCTAATGGCTCACTGACATCCAGAATTCTCTATTACCAATTTACATTATTCAGTCATGTGAAATAAGTATCCCAACTCTATCTCCTTTAGTCTATAGATAAAAAATGAAGCTTGTATTCAGCATCTTTAACTCCCTGAATCTGTATGTCTCTCTTAGAAGCTTTGCACACCATCCCAATGGGCACCGCACTTGATTCTATAAGGAACCTAATATATTTCCCACTCACGCACCCCGAACTTTGTAATATACTTCTCTTATCTTTTTATCAATATCAAATAAATCAAATTTTTCAACTACGACACTCTTGCAAAAATGATATTCTAAAAATTAACCCTTGAAAAGTTGCGTGACATCACTGTAAATAGATTTATTTAAATACAAAAATTAATAAATAAATAAACTTTAAAATGAAATATGCCAAGGGAAAAATGGAACAAGGAAGTAAGGCCAAGGGAAAGCTGAGCAGAGTAGATTAAAATTCAAAAAACTGGATTCCAGTTTTGGCTCTGGCACCAACTACATATGTGTCCACAGGCAGCCTATTAAATATTTATGAGTCTCAAGTGTGTGTTGTATGAGCAGGCTGGATTAAGTGATTTTGTAGGCCCATACAAAATTAAACCTTCTATAATTATAGAAACTACTTTCATCAAATAATGATTAGAATAGATGGGGTGGGTAAGGAGTGGAGAGAATAGTGTGCTTAAGAACAAGAGTTAAAAATGTTCTCTAAGTATAGGGGAGAAAGCACTGGCATTTGTCTCCCTCACTGGAAAACTAGAAAAGAAACATTCTTATTAACACTCTGATACCCTTTAGCAATCATTTTCAAGATAAGATTTTTCTGCTCAAAGTTTTCTTCAGGGCAATTTTGACATCTTTATTCCTCAGGCTATAGATTAAGGGGTTGAACATGGGCACCACAGCAGTATAGAAAACTGAGGACACTTTCCCCTGGTCCAGGGGCAAAATAGAAGGTGGTTTGAGATACATAAAAGCTCCTGACCCAAAGAAAAGAGAAACGACAATTATATGGGAACTGCAGGTACTGAAGGCTTTGGACCTGCCCTCCATGGAGCTAATGTGGAGAATGCTGGAAAGAATGAAACCATATGAGATAAAAATGGTAACGATGGGCACCCCAATGCCAATGGTCACAACAATAAAGACCACCAGCAAATTTACGTAAGTGCTGTTGCAGGAGAGCTCAAGGAGGGGAATGATGTCACACATATAGTGATTGACAAGGTTGTCTGCACAAAAGGTCATAAACATTAGGTTTCCCATATGGGCCACGGCCCCAAAAACCCCCATCCCATAGACACCTGACAAAAGAAGCAAACACACCTGGGGAGACATGGTGACCGTGTACAACAGTGGTTTACAGATGGCGACATAGCGGTCATATGCCATTGCTGACAGGATATAGGATTCAGAAAAGACAAAAAAACAGAAGAAAAAAAATTGAGTCATACATCCTGCATAGGAAATGATGTTCTTCTTTAAAACAAAACTCATCAGCATTTTAGGGGTGAGGGTAGTGGAGTAACTAAAATCTATGAAGGACAAGTTGAAGAGGAAGAAGTACATGGGAATATGCAGGTGAGAGTTCAGCCCAATCAGGGTTATCAAGCCCAGGTTCCCCACCACGGTGACCACGTAGAAACCTAGAAACAGGAAGAAGAGGGGGATCTGGAGTTCCGGCTGGTCGGTTAAGCCTGAGAGGATAAACTCTGTCACAGAAGAGGAGTTCTCAGCAGCCATTCTCCTTTAGGAGGGTCTGCAAGGGAAAAGAAAGAGTAACTGAAAGAGAAAGAGAGAGGCTACACACCATGAAAGTTAATGGAAGTTAAGGGGATGGGAAGGAAAAGAAAAGAAAAAAATTTACTGCACACTAACTATGGGATAAGGATTACTCTAAACGCTATGGGGCATTACGACTATCCCCCTTCTACAGATGAGCACACCGGGCTAAGCAACTTGCACGAAGTCTCAAAGCTACCGAGGTGCAGCAGCAGGTGGACTCAGGTGGGCTGGCTCCCCTGGGTTGAGCTTTTAGCCACTCTGCTGCAGCACCCAGCAGGGCAGGCAGGAACTCACCCCCTTCAGCTTGGAGCCACAGTGCTGTCTCTACTGCCTCTCATCCACCTCTGTCAGGACCCTGCTGAAAAAGTGACAGCTTGGAGCTGAGACCCCTCTGCTTCTGCTTCTACCCCTTGAGAATCAAAATGTCTAGTTTAATCTTAGTTCTCTTGCTGAGCTGGAAAATATGATCTCTGATTGTGGCTTTGCCAGGAGGCCACTGTCCTAGGGATGAGACAACATCCTTTCCTAACACCGTAGATAACAGGAGACTAAAGAGTTCCATTCTGGATTAGAGACCTCAGTGAGCTAGTTATAGAGGCTCCCTCAGGGCACTTGCCCAGATACCATCATCCCTAAGGAAGAAGAATGTTTTGTTATGTACCCTTGATAATGTTACATGTGGCTTTTAATGACCTATTCTTTCATTTCATATTTTTAAGCATGATTAAAGCAAAGCACTGTGGGAAAAATATTTTGCTACCTTGTATTGAGCACTAACTGTGTACCAAACACTGTATCTGACCCAGCACCCTCATAGGGATAGTAAGGGTCCAACAGCAATGTGCAAATGATTCATTTATTACCTATGACAACCTCTATAAATTATCCCTGTTAATCTCCACGTTAAAAGTGAGGAGCACCCACAGCTAATGGATTCCAGAATCTTGAATCAACCTTGGTCTGTCCAGCTTCAAATTCATGGTCTTAATCACTGGGCTACACTACCTCGCTGTAGTGATAATGAGTTTTCTGAAGCAGCATTTTTACTTACAAGGATCTCATGAGATTCTTGATATTGATAAAAACAAGTAATTGTAAAGGATGGTAAAAAATGTCGGAGCTAGAAAAGGTCAAATTAGGGAGAATGAACTTCAGAGGAGGAGATTCATTGTTTCACTCACATCCAATATATACCAAAGAACTATTTGAACTTCTCCAGACTCAAAAATAAAGAAACTTGTCTGATTTCCTCCACTACCTGTTCATATAGTAAGGTTGGTGATTAAAAACAAATACTTGTCAGATTACTAATATCAACTTTTATAAGATCTGAAGGCCTGGGAACAGCCCTACAGTCACTATGTCAGATAATGGGAATTGAAGAAAGATGTGAACAAGAATGAATATCCTTCAGCAAACATACATTGAGCATCTACTATTCCCTAGAAACTCATTTTAAGTCCTGGTTATTATTCAGCTGCGGGGGTGGGGACAAAAACAAATTCCTACTCACATGGAGTTTTCATTCAAGTGGAAGAAGGCAGAAAATACATAAAAGAAAGAAGGAAAGCATGTGACGTGAAAAGTGCTATGAAGAAAAGGAAAGCAAGGGCAGAAGAGGCAGAGGTACAGCTTTCAATTTTAAATAGAGTAATCTGATATTTGAGCAATGCTCAGAAGAGGCTTTAAAAGCATTTGCTTGATAAGATCAATTATCCACTAGAACATTGGACATCCATGGCTTAATGCAGCACCCTTCCAAGGCATCACATTTTCATCTTGTGCTTTAAATGCAATACCTTAAACCAAACTACTGGCTCTAAGGGAGAAAACTCTGACCATAGTAACAGGATAGAGGAGCAAGAGACCTTGTTGAGGATTTAAACAATCACAAATTACATATTGTAGGTTATTGACTGAGACTGAGATGATGACTTGTAAAGTTTTGTGTAGCAACTTGCATTCTATACTCCCTACCAGGGACTTTATATATTAAGGATAAAAGATTTCATAGCCAAGAAATAATCTCTATTTGGAGAATTCAAGCTTCATTTATCAGATTAGCTATCTGTGTTTGGGTCAAAGTTCAGGCCTAGAGTACTTTTGGAGAATTTTACACAAGGCAGAAGTCCATTTTCTTCCAGGCAATTCCAACTAAAACCACTGCACAGTGTATGTTTATGAGGACATGCACATACATTGGTGAGGGCTTGCTCACCCTCAGCTAATTCTCAGCAATGATGACGTCTCATTAGTCAATTTACACTCACAACTGTCCACATCCCAGAGTAACTCTAATGAATCCCAAGTCCTGTTCAAAATCCCAGTACACACACTTGGGAAATAGAGAAAAACAGTCCATCAAAAATTACACTAAACCCTAAAGCAAGCTCTTCTTGGTCCCAAGGCAAAGAGGACCTCAGGGGTTCATTAAATGTTCACTTTCCTCTAGGAGTTTTAGAGCATTCTTGCAACACCAGAGAAAGTTCTTCTGAGGTTTTATCACTTCAGAGATGGTTTCCATGGGAACTTCATTTTGAATGCATCAGGGTTTTATTTCAAATGAACCAGGGCTTCTCTAAATCATTTTCACTGTTGACTTGCTCCAATATAAGCAGAGAGAAGCATAAAAATAATATTTTTGATTAAGTTACTTTTGATGCAAAATTGTCCTTTTCTAAAACTTGAATCTCTGGTATAATGGATTCCTTATTCTTTTTTTTTTTTTTTTTTTTTTTTCTTTTTTGAGACGAGTCTCGCTTTCTTGCCTAGGCCTAGTGTGAGTGCCGTGGCGTCAGCCTAGCTCACAGCAACCTCAAACTCCTGGGTCAAGCAATCTACTGCCTCAGCCTCCCGAGTTGCTGGGACTACAGGCACGAGCCACCATGCCCGGCTAATTTTTTATATATATATATTAGTTGGCCAATTGATTTCTTTCTATTTTTATAGTAGAGACGGGGTCTCGCTCAGGCTGGTTTTGAACTCCTGACCTTGAGCAATCCGCCCGCCTCGGCCTCCCAGAGTGCTAGGATTACAAGCGTGAGCCACCGCGCCCGGCCGGATTCCTTATTCTATTTTGCTGACATTAAAACTTATGTGAGACATGGATTATAACATACTCGTGTGGCAAATGCATGTACAATACAGTGTGTTTGTACATATGGCACATGCATTAACCCTCAAATGTCTGGTAGACCGTCATACTGCACACAAGTGGTGGGGAAGGCAGTACCTTTCACTCTACACAAGATAAATCCAAGAATAAGCCACAATTTCAACAAAAGGAGTCAGAGACTGTGTCCAGAGAGAAAAGATGGCAGGTGAAATGTCTTCATTTTAAATGACTTTGATTAGGCTCTAAGGATGGGCATAAAATTAAATTCATCTACCAGAAGTCATATGGTTTGCATTATACTTAATGTTAAATTGGTTTTTAATATGTGTATTTGGCATATTAAAATGCTAAGTAAAGGGATTCAAAAACAAATGGTGGATTTCGTAAAGGGGTTTACAGTCTAACAGAGGAATCTCCTATTCTGTCTCTCTATCCTCTTTACTCATCTTTCATTTCAATATTTTCAGTGTCCAGTTCTCAATCATCTATGCCTCTTCTTTCTTACCTGTTTGGTGAACTCATCTCATGATTTTAAAAGCCTTCTCTACATTTTTAGTTCCTAAATTTATTTTATATTTCTGTTAATTACCTGCTCTGTGTATTTGACATCTCTACTAAAATGTTCCAGTAGAATGCTCTGGTGTCACCCTGAACTCAACAAGTACAAAGATTAACATATCTTCTTTGTCTCAAAAACAGACCTCTGCCCAAACTTTCCCATTTTTATTGGAGAAAAAATAAAGACTAGTATTAATGTGGTATTAGAAATCCTGGTTTTTTGGAATGGTCTCATTTTACATCTATTATCCCAGAAGAATTATTAGTAGCAACCCCTTTCACTATGAAATATATCCCAGTTAAATGGTAAGCTATATGCTCTCTGTATGTATTCAGAGCATCAACTCTGGGATCAAACCAACCTCTACAATTACTGGCTCTGCCACTTATTAGCAGTGTGGTCTTGGAAATTTTGCTTAACTTCTCTTGAGCTTCAAATTACTTATCTTAAAATGGGGGGTAATAATCACACATGATGCAGTTTCTAGTACATAGAACATAGAAGACATAAAAAGTATTTATGTTTTATTCTTCAAAGCAATGTCCTTGGATGAAAGGGCTGTTTTAGACTTCAATGGTATATAGGATCAGCTAAAACAGAGAGAGAGGTGAAGGCAGGAAGATCAATTAACATTTCACAGTGGCCGGACATGGTGGCTCACACCTGTAATTCTAGCACAAGAGGATTTCTTGAGCTCAGAAGTTCGAGACCAGCCTGAACAAGAGCAAGACCCCATCTCTACAAAAAATAGAAAAATTAGCTGGGCATGGTGGCGCATGCCTGCAGTCCCACCTAACTGGGAGACTGAGGCAAGAGGATAGGTTGAGCCCAGGAGTTTGAGGTTGCTGTGAGCTATGATGATGCCACTGCACTCTATCCAGGGTGACAGTGTGAGACTCTGTCTCAAAACAAAAAGGAGAAGATTTCACAAACAGTAGAAATAGTGAAGTAAGAACAGTATCAAGAGATAACATCATGAAAGAAAAGGAATTAATATCTCTATGTTTTGAAGAAGAGGGTCAAATCAAATCTTACTAAAATTTGGAGGCCAGGGAACTCTGAGTAGAACGGCAGAAATGAACAAATAAGGAGTGGGGAGGGTAAGCAGCTGGCTTTTGGTCTAGATGATGAAATGCTGTCAAAATTTTTCAAAAGGAAATGATAAGTTAAAAAAACTGGCAATGAAGGATGAGAGCTGGGAAGAAAAGGAGTCAACATATAAACTGGAGAATTGGCTAAATATAGGTGATCACAGAAGAGTGATGAATTGACATAAGCACAAATATTTAAAGACACAATAGTCAATGGTTAAGAACTAAACCTTTCCAAAAATAACCACAATTTGAAAAC